TTGGATGTCTTCAAGAGTTTCTGGAGGAGAGTTGGGTGGGGAGGTCTGAGAAACGAAGGTTCTCTTGTAATGAGATAGATGTCTGAGGTTTATAGGAAGAAGAGGGTGAAAGAGCAGATGTGGTAGGAGAAGATAGAGTGGAATGTTAGGGTAGCCTGGTGCAACAGGTAAAGTGGAGATGGTGTAGGCATCAGGGAAGTGGTAAACATTGGAGTATCTGGATTTAGACTGGAAAAGGAATTTGACTGGGGGAGAGGGAGAATAGAGGTAGGATGGTTTGGAATAGAGGGAAGAGATACTGGGGGAGCTGTTGAGACATCTTGAGAAGATGGAGAGGAGCAGAGCTAAGGACAGTTTTAGAATAGATAGAGATAGAAAAATCTTGTTGTGCTCCCTGTCTGGTCTCATGTAAAGTGAGGACTAGTTTGAATCTGAGAACTGCTACCTCAGTTTGTAGGCAGGGCAGCTCCTATAAAATACATTATGGGAGCCATTACAGTTTGCAGAAGTACATGACTGAGCAGAGCAATTTGAAAGGTCATGACCAGGTTGGGCACATAGAGGGCTGTGGGGTGACAGTGTTTGGCTGGGTGGCAAAGACGCCAACATTTCTGATATTGTTCTTGTCTGGTTCATGGGATCTGCTGAACCCAGCAACCTATTTGAGGATGAAGAACTAGCAAGTCAATAAGTTGAGAATGACACTGAGTATGAAAATGCTGAAGTTTGTGGATCTGAGATAGAATGGAGCGATGACTCTGAAAGTACAGATGATTTGCAACTTGTAATATTCTGGAGGTTTTGGCAGCTGTCAGTTGAACTAAATGTGTGATGAAACCAATAATTTTACCAACATCGAGTGTCTGATTAGCTAAAATATACATTGTATTAAGTGTCTTACTAACCTGACACATGACAAAACAGCTGGGTGTCTAATATGTCAGACAGTATGTACCTTTCACTGGAAAGTAATTTTATCCAGTACCTTTCATGTTTTATCTACATCAGTTATCCAAGAGCAGAGAGGAGGAAGGGTCACTTTTGGACATGTCTGGCAGGCATAATACAGTGGGGGTAATTTGTCTGGTATAAACCATTTTGTATTCTGATATGCATCAGAGTATATTAACTTTGTTACAAGTGGTACCAAAAATATTTGATCTAGTCAAAAATTTTAGACCCTTCTGGGTGTCTGGTGGGCCTAATGCAGCTGGCAGTATGTCTGGCAAGGGTCACTTTGTACTTGGTGGAATGTTACCTTTCATTCAAAAGTAGTTTCATTCAGTACCTTTCATCTTTCATCTACAGCTAGAACACTGCATAGGGTCAACTTTTGGGCATGTCTGGTGGCCATAATGCAGCAGGTAATTAGTCTGGTATTGTCCATTCTGTACTCTCTGTTGAAGTATATAAACTTTATTTTAGGTGGTACCAATAATGTTTGATCCAGCCCAAATTTTTAGGCCCTTTTTGGGCATCTGGCAGGCCTAATGCAGCTGGCAGTATGTCTGGCAAGGGTCACTTTGTACTTGGTTGAATGTTACCTTTCATTCAAAAGTAGTTTCATTCAGTACCTTTCATATTTCATCTACATCAATTTTGCCAGAACAGAGGGGGTGGGTCACTTTTGGGCGTGTCTGGCGGGCAAAATGCTGTAGGTAATTTGTATGGCATTGTCCATTCTGTACTCTCTCAGATGTGTTGAAGTATATAAACTTTATTTCAGGTGGTACCAATAATGTTTAATCCAGCCCAAATTTTTAGGCCCTTTTTGGGTGTCTGGCAGGCCTAATACAGCAGAGATTATGTTTGGCATGAACCATTTTTTACCCAGTGTGATATGTAAATTACCCCGAAATACATTGCGTGTGGTACCTCTCTATGTTTGATCTAGCTGATTTTTTTGCCCCTTTTGGGGGTCCCCAGGGGCCATACGCAGCAGGGGGTTCCCGGCAGACATCCAGTTCTTCATATGCACTATCATTCTCTACATGATCCTGTACTCAGCAATTGGTACCAAGTTCGTTTGACCGAACCTCCCTTGGCTGCCGGTCTAATAGCAATTTTATATTAGGGTTACGTACTTTGATTATTTTTCAAGCTTCCAATTACTCTGTTCTGTAGGATTGGCATCTTGGACTTTGTAGCATTATATGTTTTATGTTTTCTTGGCTCTGACACCATCAACAGAGTGGGTCATTTACTAATTTTATTTTTTGTAAGTGCTGTGTAATTTTGATTCTTGTTATACAAACATCAAGTTTTCAGTTTTTAAATCTTGTCCATGGCTGAGGTT